ATTAATTATACTAAACTGCTTAATACATATATATATATACATTATAATAATAAGAATAATAATAATAATAAATATAAACATAAATAAATATAAAATATGCACATGTGTATATATATATATATTTATATATTATAATAATTAGTGATTGATATTGTAGAACTATATGATGTACTACACATCTTTCCTAACCTCGCTGGTAACCCCAAGCTCCACCGTTCCTCCGGGTGCCATTCAGCACGAAGATCGACTCGCGCACGGGATGCGCTTCCAACGAACGGAGAGGGAAGAGTTCCATGGCCCCCACTGACATGAAGTGCAGATAATTCCTCCATGGCGAATTATGTGAACGGATTTTTTTCACTAGGACGTCTGGGGAACAGGATGAATCCAAGCCTCTAAAAAGGCTGATTTCGCGGCCATCAATCGTGGTGATGTAGTCTTCAATATGATGATTGAACCATGATGGTGAAATCATTGGATATGCTGGGGATGTAACAACATACTAAAATTGGAGATGTAACGAAATTAAACCTGGTGACTTAATGGGATAATATTGGGATATATGTACCATCATAATCCTTCATAGGCCTTGGGACATCATGGGGATTTATAACTGGGAAAATCCCAGTGACGTGACTCTGGATGCAATCCATGGCTCAGTACCCCAGGATCTCCAACCTTTCCCCTGCACCAAAGAGCTTCCCAAAAAAGGGTATGTTCCCGGTAGAAGTGGCAATTTGCAATACAGTGATATTTCACATTCTATAACATTCTTATCATCTTATCTCCAAAAACACAGCCCAGGGGTTTTGTAATCCGGGTTGACATCACTCCGCTATTTCCCCAACATCCACACCATTCCACCAGGTCGCAGCGCACGAATTTCTTCCGCCAACTCTGGGGCGTGCTTTTCGATGAGCCGTTCCGGGTCGTTCTGGGACATCATCCAGAAATGGTCCGCTCCCTGCTTCGCTCGAATATGCGGCTTCTCGAACCTCGAGAGTTGGCCATGGCCACAGAAAAAGGGGCAACGGTCTGGACACCAAAAAATGATTGTGCATCTTTGCTTGAGACAAACCAAAAACGTAACAAAAACAGTCCGGTTTTTGGGGATCCATTAGTTTGGGTCACACCCATCAACTTGGCCCTACCAGTCCACATTCACGGCATCGGCAATCTAACTTTGCAATGAAAACTCCCCCATGCTCACTTGATGCTCCCACGAAAAAATGGCGGGCATCCCCGGCCCTGTTTTAGCAGAGAGTAATTGGCACCAGTCTTGAAGCCCGGGTATTGGCAATGGTAAACAGTAAACAGCATGCAGATACGAAATTCGATTATTCTCCACTGGTTCCTTGCTGAACTGGTGCTTGGAAGTTGTTCCAGAAACCAGTTAGGGCACCCAACTTGGTTCCTGCGAGGTTTGTGGATAAAATCCCTTTCCTATTATAGTAGATTATATTAGTATTTGCCGAGATGCAGCCCAGAAGATGTTTGGTTTTCATAGGCAAAAACTCGTGCGTGCTCCCCCAAAAGATCTAAATTTTGTCTCTGTGGGGATCATCACCCAGGCACGGAGGAAAATCATGGAACATCTTAGATATTTTCCTTAGATAATCTGTGGGGATCATAAAGTCATGATGATTTATGTTAGTTATTTAGTTTATATCCCTATTGTTGCTGGGTTTAGTCATGTTTAGTCCCATTTATGGCTGGTAAATCCCTGATGGAGGCTTGAACCACTATTGTTGCAGTGTGGTGCCTCCATGTGCCTCCCAGTTTCTCAATTTGTTTATAAACCGCAAGCCAGAGGGAGCCTGGAGTTACACCAACTTTGCCATGAGATGGTTGGATCATCCCCATACTGTAGTAGTGATGATGATGATGATGATGATGCCAATGCCGATGCTGACAGCATCAATGGCCCAAGGCGCATTGAGGATTGTTTCTGTTGGAGAAATCTGCATTTGGTTGAATCCAAAATTTTGATGGTGAAACCATCATTTCTGATCCTGAGATCCCCATTTTTGTTGGTGAAAATCCAATTCTTTTAGTCAAATCTCCTATATTTGCCGGGTAAACCACACTTTTTCATCATGAACAACTCGAATTTTCTGAGTTTAAACATGCGATTTTTGGATGTTCCAAATGGTAATTTAACATAGCTATTGAAAATGGCCATAGAAATAGTGGATTTTCCCATTAAAAATGGTGATTTTCCATAGCAACAATGGATTTTGGGGTGCTCCAAGCAACAGCGCCTGGATGGCTCCCCAAAGGTGCACCTGGTATTGCCGCGCGCTGCAGGGACCCTGGCTACCCTCCTCCAGGTAGACGGGCTCCACATCCGTCCTGGGCCATGGCCATATGTTGTGTCATGATTGAACATGTTGTATAACATGTCAGAGTATATTATATTATATTATTATATCTATGTTATATTATGTTATATTACGCTATGTTATATATATATTATGCTATGTTATATTACGCTATGTTGTGTTGTATTATGTTATATAAATGTATGTGTGAATATGTGTTTTGGATGATTAAATATAGCTCAACATGGCTGAACCATGCATAATATGCCTTAATATGGCTTAACTGATAGATGTCGGGGTGAAACGAAAATATGGAAAATTGCAAATATGAATAAAACTGAATATCACAAATCAATGCCGAATATTGAACCAAAATTGGGATCATCGATAATTACCTTGTATTCAATATCATGTTCATAGTCCAATCATGTAAGTTGATGTGCTGCTGGGGTGCACATCCAAGTAATGTCAACTCCGCATCGCCTTATTCATATGGCTTAACTTACCCATAGGATCCATGGTGCTGCTATATATGGTGACATGGATCCCATCAATATACCCCAGTCATGTTAGCATATATATATATATATATATATACCATACATGGATCCTATGGGTTATAGATGGCTGAACCGTGAAGTTTTCGGCTGATCTCCCACCACAAAAAGGTACCGACCGCACCGAGGCGCGGCACGATGAAGACCTCGGCGACTTTCGGGTCCCAGGTCCGCCAGGGATGCGTCATCATCATCCGCACGAAGTACTTGGAGGCCGAGAACTCGTGCCTTCGAGGTGTTTCACAAAACTTGCTGAAAAAAAACGTGCCATATTTAGGCACTTTTTTAAGAAACGTTCTGCATCAGAAAGTGTATCACATGGACATGTGAAGATTAGTGTATACACTTACTATATGAAAATTAGTGTATAAGTCTGCATAAGATTGTATAAGTAAGTCCGTATAAGCCAACTATAGACATGATAAGCTCACCTGAACAAGTAGATCGAGAAGGCATTTGTTTGGTCTTGACTCACTCATCGCGAGTATTACATACGCTGCAAGAGAAAAGTCGATTCCTGATCGTTGCCCGTTTCAAATGTTTATGGTAAACAAATATGAAGTCACTCAACTAGTCAAGCTGTACCTAGTGTCACTAGTATATGCTGAATGGTTTTATCAAGGAAGAGAGTTAGCACCTACCAATGTCAAGCGTGGATTCGTGAACCGCTGATTTATTGGGATGGCTAAGGTATGATACCGATGGAAGGGGAAAGGCACTGCACGGCAATCACCATTGCAGGTATTCTAGTGGCCTTTACCCCCTTGTGGAATTTCCTTCGCTTGGCCAACTTGTCAACATATGTTTGTCCAGAAATGGGCAGACACCGAATTCGCAATTGGACTTGAAGGTTTGTTAAACTCTGAATTGTGGAATATTGTGTCATACCATATTTTGATATATTTTGTGTCGAAACCATTCAGGTTATCAGCACGCATAGTCACAAACTAAGGACTAGTAGCATACCCCCCAAGAAACAACCTTCATTCATGTCTTCTTGCCCCACACTAACTAAAGTGATTGTGTCAAGACCCAATTCTTCCATATTCTTCCCCCAACTTTCTATAGATAAATCACAACCTGAAATGCGGCCCACCATAGTTGCAGGTCTTATATATCCCAACTGATGGGGGGGTTAAAAATGACCAGGCTAATTATTCTTATAATCTCAATTGCACCCCCAAGCAGAAACTACAAAACATCAAACTGTTCATCAAATTTCATGTTTACCATCTGGTTATGACTAACATAGCCATGGAAAATCACCATTTTTAATAAGTAAACCATCTATAAATGGGCCATTCCCATGGCTATGTTAAATAGCCAGAGGGTATATATGTTTATATAATCCCGCGTGTGAGTTGCTAAGATCCCCTTCTTTTTGGCTTCATGCGATCGTTGTTTCACGGGCTCTTCAGCCCTGCCAAGCTGCACCGTGCCACGAGATGAATTGTATCCTGGCAGAGGTCCAACCCAGGGCGCTCGGTGAAGACCTTCTTTGTTTGCATCTGTTCAGGGGAAGTTTGACATTTACAATAACAATAAATATCTATGATAAATTTGAAAATAATATCTCTATATATATATATATGATAAATATATATATATACGTATAATATCTATGCCATCTTCATCTGTGGCTCTTTGTTGGAAGTTGATCCAGCACTTTTGAGGTGTTTCGGGGTCCGCTTCTGAAGACAAATGAAAAAGCTCCCGGGCTTGGTCGGCTGGGGAGCCAATTAAGCCATGCCCATCGGGGTGCTAAGCATCTGAGCTAAGTGAATATACCCTCTGATAAACTAACATAGCTGTTGAAAATTGCCATTTATAGTTGATTTACCTAGTAAAAATGGTGATTTTCCATAGTTATGTTTTGTTAGTTTACCAGAGGGTAATTGAACATGATCATATCCATGTGGGGTTTGACAAGTAACCTGCCGAGTTCATAAAGGGCATGGAATGGAAAATCATGAGTTCTGACTGGAATGGCAACCCACTGTGCAATCGTCAGAAACCTGTACTGGCTCGGAATAGCCATACCAATTTGCTCGCGATTGCTCAGACTTTACCAAAACACTCTCTATCCATCGCGTTTCTCATTTTGTTGCTGTTCTCTCTTTCGCTCTATCCATTACCATGCCTTTGTAATATGCCAATTTCACCCCAAAGTCATGGCTTTGATGCCCCTCATCAAATCAGCTGCTTCGAGCGTCTCAAATCGAAGGAGGGCATAGACCAGCGCCTTCCTTCTTCGGCGTCCCGTTCTTTGGCTGCCATGCCTTCAGTTGGATCATAGCTCTAACCCATTTATAGCTTGGTTATAAGTTATAATCAAAAGCATCTCCCATCAGAGATGGTGTAATATCATTCAAAAGTATGCAAAAATCAGCCTTGTGTAGTCGGGTTGATGATGATGATGATGATGGTGGTTTATGAAGTGAACATATCTGATTATCACTGATTATCTATAATTATCTCATATGATCTCCGTCCATAGGCCTTTTTCTTTGCGAATGTTCATCCCAGGAATGGGAAGTGCTGGGTGATCCCATTGGCCCAGGCACACTCCACCATCAGTCCTCAGAGCTCCAGCTGTGCTCCATGGGATATGACCAAATCGTATGCTCCAGAAATGTCACTTCAATGGGGAGGAATTGACTATCATTGACCACCAAACAATGGATAAAAATGGATAAAAATGGGGAGATTGACTATTAAAATCTATTAAAATCTATTAAATGCATATAAATGCGGATTCAACCACTCAGCCATCAAAATATGCGGATACGGCGCAACGAAGACTGGGTTTAAATTGTTGTTTTGCATGGCGAATCCAATAGTCATGGCTTTTTAATATTGGTGATACAACTCACAATAGGGATGTAGCTACTTGAGTGATTGTCTTGCAACTGGAAAGTGCAGTTACCACTCCTCTACAAAAAGGGTAGTAACTAACGAAGACCCCAGTTTAGTTGATATGCTATGTGCTGAAGACTGACCAGATGTGATCAGCATTGGAATATTGACGGTCCTGCTGTGAGTGTCGGTTCTCGCGTTCAAGGACAACTCGCCAGCCCTGAGGTCATTTATACATGCCATATTACTATCCAGTGCCAGGTCCTCTATCTTTTGTTACTTGAAGCCCAGTTCTATTGGTTCCTAGGAATTCACATCCAAATTTGCTACTCAACCTCTGCTCTTTATCTGATCTTTATCACCAGTCTCAACCGTGGACGTGGAGCACCAAGCAGCCAACCAACAACGCAGGGTCGTCGTACATGTAGAAGGGCACCGGTTCCAGCATTGCTTGCGCAGTGGACAGCATTGCTGACCCCCCAGTTGCGCTTAGCGCGCGTAAAAACGCGCCCTATTTCTATGTCTATAGTAGGCTGATGGGATCCCAGAAAAGAAGCTGAGCAAGCCACACAACTGGGAAAATCACATCGCCACCAGCCACTGATCCTACAGCCATGCATCAAGCATGGAAATATTGCCAAAAATCTATGTTGTCCATACAGTGGTTACTGTGATTCATGCAATAAAGACGGAAATGTTACCAATAGCATTTGGGTAAACCATGGGCAGCGAGTACAGTAGCTGATGCATATCCCATACATTGTCCCATTTATTAACTGTGTGTGTTGTACCGTTATACCCAGCACAAGTGTACAACACCAGAGACCAGCTGGACCCAACTGACATGCGCATCCACGTAAACCTTGGTATCACCCTACTTGAGGGTGCATCCCATTTATATATATATATGTATTTAAAAAGAGGGTTATAGCATGTTATTAACAAATTCTAACTTTACATGTTGATGCATTTTGGCTATGCTTATATCACTTCCATGATTTTCCATGACTTGGATCAAGCCCACGCCTCGCATGGGGCCATGCCCTCGTGTGGGCCATGCCGCTGGGAAGCCAAAAACATGGCCAGAAATCCATGAGCCGACCAGCAAAAGCCATTACAGAAGATGGGGCGTGAAACCAACAATAGGTGGACCATGGAGTTCATTACATTGTAGTTCTAACATGTTCTAACGATAACATCAGTTCAATGGCCATTTCAGGAACCTAAATTGGAGGTACCTACCATATATATATATAATTGGATATATATAATGATATATATATATATATATAAGGCCATGAAATTCCCGTTGATCATTTAAATCAGTTAACTCGTTAGGAACTGGGTACCCATTCCATCCCATGACATGCCCAGGTCCTTGCGCTGCCGCCTTTGGCGCTTCTCCATGGACTCCTTCTCCTTCTGCTTCCCCAAGGCGTTCAACGCCCTGGGCGCCACAACGTGCCATGGCGCCGTGCGATGGAGGGAACGAAGGAAAGAAAATGATCCAGAAAGGATAGGGGATTTAAATATTTTAGCATTCTGTCAGCATCAAAAATGTGGTTTTCATATGTTTTAATCACCACGCACAGGGGATTTTGAGATGGTTCAAGTAACAAACATTTTGGATTCGACCAGAAGAACGGATTGGACCAGGTTTGACCATCAAAAAGTATGAGTTGATCATCAACACAGGGAACTAAACCATAGCTGGCAAGCGCCTTAATAGGGGAACACCCTGTGCAATTGGAGTAGCACGTAACCACGATTTGTGCAAAACTCATCAAAACTCATCACCACCGTGGGTGTAACAATAAAAGTTAATTCACATTTCCTATTTTGCACTTGCAGATTTCTGTGGCATTTTTTTTTAAAATCCGCATGTGATCCATGAATGAAAAATGACCATTCATCCATTGACCCAGGTGACCCAGGAACTCCGGGCATCGGGCTCGGGTTCCGCGATGGCCGAGCCCGCTTGGAGTGCCTGGGCTCTCCAGGTGGAGGCTTTAGGGGAAAAATGTTCCAAATATCTGGGAAAAATATGGAAAAATGAGGATCAGCAGCACAAATAACATATTAATGTAATGAGGATGTGCGAAAAATCTGATGACTCGACCTTCTGAAAAGTCATGATTTTTGTAGGGCCATCCGGCCATGCCATTCACCTTTCTGACGGGCCGAGAAAAGGACCCATTTTGACGGTCAAAACTCCTCACCGCAAGATCGCCACTTGCACCAGTAAAATCATCAAAATCAAGCACCCCCAGGTAATCAAACATAAATCAAGCTGGAAACTCCCCGAACTAAATGGAGCTGGGAAAATCATCTAGTGGGATATTCATGGATATTTCACTATGGGGGATTGATATCCATACCGTGATTATCCCATTCATTTTCCATGAATATCCCCATATCGCTATCAATGGCCCAAAACCATGAAAATCGAGCGCCTTGTCGGGCGCGGAGAGCAGCTCCTACCGGGGCTCAACCATGCCCCCGCCTGGGAAATCTCTAAATGGAATGGGATGATTACTATACTATTTGGTACCTTCATGCTATTTCATGATTGTATCACTGGCGATGAATTTTATGATTCTTTTGTGGAATAATTATATCATATGCACATAATTATACGTACACTAGCGCATCATTGTCCCTAACACCAGGTTATTGGGGGGCGCCAGTTTGTATATGTGTATGATATATGAGATAATATCATCGTAATCCAATATCATTGATGTGCTGCTTCAATCAAGAAAAATGCAGGAATGTCCTGGATTTCCACCATCGAACGACCGCCTTGGAGGTTCTAAAATGAGTTGAAATTCCTGGAGGAAACACAGACAAATGGTGGATTTTAGGATCTTTTTCATTTACTGGCATATACATTCAGAAATGCACGGCAATCGTCGCTGCCCTTCCAAAAGCCGGTTTCTTTGCACAAGCCAGACCTCCGTGGTCAACGGCAGCCGGTACGGAAGTGCAGAGTAGGAACCGGAAGAACCTGCAGACCCGGCAGGGTCTGGGGTGGCCCATCTTTTTATGGCTGGGCGCATACAAAATCACAGGCGCATAATGGCGCATAGATGGAATTGGATGGGGATATGTAAACATGTATCTTGAGCACATGTATACTCCATAGAATCATCACGGAACCCTTACACTATACGTGGAACGTTGTCTTTTGTACAAGAAATGAACTAGTTTGCCCTGGCAATCACGGGAGTGGAGTCGGGAAGCGATCATTTAATAGCATTTATGGCCAAAGGGTCAAGCCTATAGCTACCCCCGTGAAAGTTTCAAAAGCACCACGCAAAAAAGGTGTGCAAAAAGGGATGTCGGACAACTATGACTTCTTGGCTCCCAAGCAATCTTAAATTTCAACGCGGGCTCTGATATATTCGAAGATTTAACAAACCATTACATCACTTCATGTGATTGCATACGGTTCTCCCATCTCCCTATATACAACAAAGCGTCAATTTGGCAGGCATTGTTCAGTTGGTGAGCACAGGAAAGTGAGCTCCGCCCACCGGATTAAAACTTGATACTCAAAGGCTTGGTGATGCCCCGCCTGCGATGCGTACCGAGCCTCTTGGGCCCCACCATTCCTGCTGAAAGACCTAGGCCCAGTTTTCATCACCCCAACTAAACAATAAGTAAAGGGAGAAACAAGAAACACACATGTGAAGCAAAGATCGCATAGCATCACCTCTGAACTTAGCAGACATTGAACATTATTAGCCACCCACATCCCCACAGACCCCCAAAATTCACGAACAGCGAGTCAGCCAATATGTTAAGTGGGAGGTATAAGTGCCCACGCTGGGCTATGGGACCATTTGTGACTGGGATATTTACGGCATGGTCAAACAATTTTCAAGACATGTCAAAACCTTGTACCCCAGGTGAACACTAGCCGGTAACTGGATGTTCATTCCCCAAAAAATCCAGTATGATGTTTTGATCCGTCCCCATTTCATCCACTTAATTACAACCATCTAGTTGGCTTCATGGATTCCTGCACCCAGCCATGGGTCTCCTGGCCCTTTTTCGCATGCGAAGAAAGCGCTTGCGGGTGCGCGGGCGACGTGGAACCTCCAGGGGAAGCCCAGGGGATCCCAGGACTTCCTCAATTCATCGCTCTTTCGCTGCGTAAAATCTTGACATGCAACCATCTTTGCAATTGATCATAACTGGTTGGTGGTTTTAACCATCTTGAAAAATATTAGTCAATCGGAAGGATTATCTCATATATCATGGAAAATAAATAAATGTTTGAAACCACCAACCAGATAATCATAGGTCATAAAGCTGACTTATAAGATTTTTTTGGACACTGATTCTCCCTTACTCACCATCCATCCATCTATGGTCAGGTCGTCACAATCGTTTCCGCAGCGGTTGAGCTCCTCACCGGAACATGGCGGTAGAGCTCTTCCTCCTGGTGCTCGCAGATCTCCCAGGAATGTATGGATGTCACATGTTTTTAAGGGCATATGTGGATGGATGCATCTGAACTTAAAACATATATGATTGCGATAGCTAATCTATATTTAGATATTTAGCTGTTCTACATATTCAAAAAAATATGAGCCGCCATCAAAATCAATTGTTTACGGCTGTTGCAAAACCAAAAAATGCTAAAAGTTACCATCATATTTTGGTTTTTCAGAAACATCCAATCAATACCAAATTTGTCAAGATATAATGGGCTCTACTAAAGTAAAACAAAAAAAATGCATCCTCCACCACTCCACAGTCCTCCTCGTCTCGGAAGACATAGTCCACGCAGGCCGCCACCTCCAAGAAAAATGGGGAGAGAATTGAGAGAATGCACTAAAGAATGGGTTTAACTATATATATATATGTGTGTGTGTGCATATATATATATATATACGTAGTTGGGCCATGGAGTTGGTTAACTACTTATTTATAACCCAGTTACTAAAATCAGTTAGCGAAGCCCATGGCCCATCTAAGTAGGGTGTGTGTATACATATACGTATATCTATATATATCATATATCGTATATAACTACCAACTTGAAACTATGTATACAACTGGGTTGGTATTGGGCCATAGTATGGTCTCTCTCTTAAAATATCTTATATAAATATCATCTGGTTGGTAAACTCTTAGTAGCTGCTTAGCTCCCCATTGAAAAACGAGAACATGGATACCCAAATCGCTCCTTAGTTACCTCCTCACCACTGGATAGTTAACACTGTCAAACAAAAATATTGGGCTTCAAGAATTCATGGTTAAACTCACATTTTTTCAATGAATGTGGTAAGCCCAATCGTGAACCACCCCACTATTGCCATAAATGAGTGGGTAAAAATCATCATACCAGTTTTCATCCATCGACCTATTGCTTGTTCAATTGAGGGGTGCAATTTCCAGTATATAATCAACCGACCAGTCGGGAAAAGGAAATCTATGGAGATCTATATGCTTGATCTTCCACGCAAAAGGGTTTGGGGAACTAGTTCAGATCACTAATGTTCACTTGGCAAATCCTGAAGCTGGGATCTGTCTTTAAAATCAGATAAATCAAAGGGTATTGTAAAACAAGTCCTGAATCCCAGGCGAATTTTGCAGTTCCCCAGGTGATCTCCCGCCCTGAGCTTCCCACAACATCTGCTGGCTCCACACCGGCACGCTGCCACGTTGAGACTGCTTTGGCTGTGCCATATTCTTGCACCTGCATCACGTATCCTTTAAAGGGATTGATGTAAGTTTGTTTTACTTGGGGATACCTTCGATGGCAAAAGCATGTCAATGGGATATCTTCTTTTCACTGGAAAATAATCAGCAAGTAAACACGGCAATGGGATGTCTCCGTTTTTGGAAAAATTAGGAAAATCGTCTATGTGTTCAATGGCTGATCGTCAATTGAGAGATTGGAGTAGCAATGGGCTTTTACCATCAAATTAGGTGGATTCATAGAACTCTTTCCCCTTCAACCTAATCGATCAATTCTGAACATACTGGGCGCTCCCTGCGACTAGTCATTAATGAATTGCAACTGGGAGATTGCTCATCATATTATGGAGGTGGATTCAACTTTCTCCGCATTTTGCTAAGCATAGTTGGAATGGAACGTTCACCTATTTTTCTGATTTCTGTATCATTCTCGTTTTGACATTTGAACTTAGCTCCGTGACCTTTTCGAGAATCACCGGAGGTTTACGGCTCACCAAGTTCGCTGGCGTCTTCGACCGCCATTTTGACGATATCTATGCAACATAGCACACACACAATGCAACACAATGGCATAGAAGATATCTGGAAACTGGTTCATCTCTCCATTGCTGGTGATATCCCCATCATACCCCCCGCGCTCCACTCACATCGGCAACATGCCCACCATCTCACGATGCCACCACCCAAAACAACGCTGGAAATCGGAGGAACTCCCATCCAACACGGAGGTTGGCCCCAGCAACCCACATCTGGGGCTTGGTCTGCCACTTCCGGTCGCTCTGAACTTGTTATCCCAGTCTCAGACCAGTCATGGGTTTTTTTGCCCCAATACTTTGATCGAAAATTTGGCAGAAGCCCCGAATAGAATGGTACTACCCATGGCTAGACACCAAAGGAAATAAGGTCTCAGCAGGACAGCAGGATAAAAAATATCCCCCCCATCTGTGGATCAAAATAACAGTAAACCATCCAGCTTTCAAACCAATGTTTAGCCGGATGTTATTTCCTCCTTGCGCCCCTTGCCATTATACAAATCGGGTGTTTTTGATTGTTAAATCCCAACATATCCCAGCCTTTTCACGGACCCAATGAACATTTTAAGTGAATAATTACCATGTTTGCAACCCATTCACCTACCAGATTGAGTTTTCTCCCCTCTGGATATAATCATAACCTGAACCCTTCGCCCTTCACCCAGTGCCTCCTGTACCACGAGAGATTCCAGGAATGCTAAGCGCACCACGGCAGGCGCACCTTTCAGGGCGAGGTCATCAATGTTTGCCTTAACCTGGTGATGAAAAAAAATCAATGGCTCTCATTCTTTTCATGGAAAAAATATGGAATGAAATATCATGAAAATTCGGATAAGTAGGATCATCGTCAATAAATCACATAAATCACATGGATGTGGGTCAAAATGGAAGACGTAGGGGACCACAGATGTTAGTCTAGTTTAGTATTAACCATCCAATTATTGGGGTACCTAATGTTGACCCATTACAAAGGGTGCTATTACCATTCCCATTGCCAGGTTCAAGGACCAATAAATCCCGACGGTTTTAGCTCCCGATGTCCCGAGCTCGGCCCAAGCTTGGGCCATCTATGTTCCACGTCATTGGCCGCGAAAAAAAAACACCAGGTCAACCCAGTCAGGCCATTTAGGGTTACCAATAGCTATGGGCCACTTTCAATAGCTATGTTTGTTTACCAAAGGGTACCATCCACTAACTAACATGTACGATAATTCATGTAAGAAATCTCTCTTCCATCAATGGGACTAACATGGAATAACAATCACCTATACCATCCAGCAATATGTCAATCATTCTCAATCCATTTTCCATCTTTGATGTCATGGCACGAAAATACCTATATGATCATAGCAATGATACCTATGATTTGCAGTGTATGATACATTGTGATACAAAAAATATCATAATATATCATGATATATGTAATCTACCTATAATATACCCTCTGGTAATTTAACATAGCTATTGAACATGGCCATTTATAGTGGATTTACCATCAAAAACGGTGATTTTCCATAGTTATGTTTGTTTACCAGAGGATATACCATGGCAGCCTTCCATGGCAGCCCAAAGCTCGGCCACTTCCACATCTTCGACCAGCTCAGTCCGCCGAAAAAGCTGCGGCAAGGCCTGCCGGGGGCAGCCGCAGGGAAGATGTGGGAAATCACCGAGACCCCAAAAGATCGAGAACAATACGGTCATGGATTCTCTTTGGAGGATGAGGATGAGGATGATGATGTTGATGATGATGATGTTGATGATGATGATGATGATGATGATGATGATGATGATGATGTTTCATCTTTCAACTATTGGACAAAGATTAACCCATTTACCTGCCAAACCAGGGTGTTTACCCAGGAAACGTTACTCTGATTGAAGCACCGATGAAAGTGGAAATCATCGGATGTGAATCTTCCACATGATACCATCCGGTGATTTTAATATGGCAATATATGGCAAATTGCTCATTTATATCCATTTATATCCATTTATATCCATTTGGATTCAATCTGTTGACAACATGTTCCCAAGCCTCAGTTAGATAGTTTCGATCATGTTCAAACCATTTTCTACTAGGATTTTTTTTGGACAAATTATCTATAGATTATCTATAAGTTATCTATAAATGGGCAATTTTACAGCGGCTCCTCCCAGTGGTCTTCCAAGAGCTCCGCATTGAACTCCACCACTGCTGTTAGCACCTGGTGGGGAGGCTTGTCCCGGAATATTTTGATAATGATTCATAGTGGTTAATAGATGTTAATAGTGGTTAATGTGAGTAAAAACAATATCATAAACCACCCATGACTGGGTTTTATGACTCTGGTACATCTGTGGGTTAGCGTGGTCTAAGACGACTTTTTGGAAAAATCAGTCAGAAAAGTGAACCCTCTGCGGACTTCACACGTTTCGGCCATTTCCACTGTTTCAATCTTTTTCATTTTTTGGGCGAGTCCGGATTTTATAACTTATGTAAACCCTATATAAATGAAACCCCTAATGGAAGTATGCGTAGGACGTCACTGTTGTTATGACAAGGAAATCCCCTGGCACCGGGATGATGCAACCAATGGGTTGCTAGCTCCGCTCACAGGACGAGGGGTTGTCCCTTCGGGACAACCCCTCGTCCTGTGGGTTTTAATAGTCATCCCAAATCATAGAGAAGAAAAACCCACCCAAAATAGTGATATGTTATTTTTCTACATGTTTTGGGGGATTACTATAGTTTTAATGTTAACATCTCCGTGATTGTCCATTTTTGGGGCCCATTTTTGTTGGAATCCCAAAGTGTTGAATCATTCTGAATCCTGACCAAGTTTTTCTTTATATCCTGATCCCGACTGCAAAAACAAATAGATGACCTTTGAAACGGTAAAAACTTGGGATAATCACATGAAAAAAATGGTAATAATGTTGGGGCCCACGGATAATCAATAATCGTAACCCAACAATCAAACATTTTTTTGGTGTAGCTCGTCCCATCTCTCGATGACCTGGGCCACCATGGCGGGCTGCAAGTCTTGCGCCCGTCGGCGCTGGGCTTTACCTCGGGCGCTGGGCGCTGGGCTCGCCATGTGGCTCTTGGCCGTTGTGTTTACTGTATATGCCATGAATTGATAATATTTCTATGATGTTTGTGTTTAATTATATATATATATATGATTTACGAGGATTTATGATGATTTATGATTAGTATATGATTGGTGTTCCCTCTATAATGTATACGTAGATCTCAAATGTGTTTGTCGGATGCCATGTCTCCCAAGTGGGCTTGTATGGATATATAAGAGATGGTGTTAGATGGTTTTCCTCTGAAGGCTTGGCTGGCTTGGCTTAGTGGAAATTGACATGGAAATGGACTAAGTGACTAGGTAGGTAAAGTTCGCATGCCAAACAAATCTCAACACATTTCTTCAGGATTCTTCAGACTGATTACAGTAGGATGTGAAAACATGTGAAAACCAGGCTTCGCAGGGTGAACTGACCCAAACTCAAACGTGCCATGCCTAAAGCCCTTGTTTCATCATATCTTCATGCGGTACTGCAACCACTCCCCACACACACACACATATATATACATACATATATATATATATAAACAATCCACCGACTTCTATCTCTCTCTCTCTCTCTCTCTTTCTCTCTCTCTCTCTCTCTCTCCCTCCATCCATCGCCTTCTCCAAGACTTTCATGTCTGGAATACATCGTTGTTTGTCACTATATAAAACGGGCATAGCTGCTTGATCTTTCCAATTGTTTCATAGGTTTTCCGGTTTCATATCACCGGGCCATCCTGAGCCCTCCGACTGGCATTCTTGGAGAAGGCGTGGATCAGAAGCCTCTGCTGAAGGGCGTTCAAGGGTTGATCCAAAACAATGCAAAACAAACAAGGCCATTTTACCCATCAATAGGGATTGAATATGGTTCAATATGGTGTAATATGGTTTAGTATGGTCAAATGTGCTTTAGTAAACCTCTTTAATGGTAGCTAAAGGAACCAATTATTGGCCAACCAGCCTCAGTCATTTGAGTCAGAGTCCAGTAGTGGAACAATGGATTTAGTTTGGTCAATGGTGGTTTGTCCTAAATCTACCCTATCAGACTGTTCACTACCCCCACTTTAGGGGGACCCTAATACTAGTACAACCAATACCATGCCAGGGTTTCGCTTGGGCTGATATGATGGAAAGGGATTACTTTGTCGCAAGCCCCAATGCGACTGTGTGCGAACTGTTTGTTTTCTTTTGTTTTGTCTTGTTTTGTTTCGTTTCGTTTTGTTTGCGTCACCAGGCGTTGAAGGGGTGGCTATGGGACCTATGAAACCTATGAAATGCTGATAACCATATGCATGTATGTCTTTGCGCGTGTGGATACACTGTTCTTTAAGGTAATCATAGGTAATCATCATAGGTAATTATAGGTAATTATATTTCAAAATTAGATACGTCATCAACAACCTTAAGGTGGACCAGGGTGGTGACACATCAGAAACATATTTTTCGAATCAACAGGAACTTTTCCACGGGTTGGTGCACATTCACCATTCAAAATGGTGATTGTCCCATTAAAAGTTCCATATTTATAGGTGATGTACATCGATTTTCCCATGATTTTCTCATTAAAAGCTCCATATGTATAGGTGATCACTGAGGCTCCCCTGCTTCAACACTTTCTTGGCACAGGTCTGTTTCTCCTCCTACGGGCTATCGATGCGACTGATGGACTGCCACCCTCTACCAAGTGCGCAGATCCACCGGAAGAATCAAATGCCAAAGTAGGAATAGATTAAGCCAACTAATTACTGATAACATATATATATATATATAATTATATAATATCTATATATATATAAATGACAATAAAGAAATAAACAATATGCGAATTTCCCAATATCTGTACTAAATGAACCAACAAGTCAGACTCGCCCTGCGAATCGCTGCACTTCTCTCGCTCTCCTCAGAGTGATCTTCGTGCAGATTGATCAAGGCCTGGAACACCGGGATCTCAAGACGCTGCCGCGTCGCGAACTGGAAAATCCACCATTTTTCAGGGGGAAATCATCATAAATCATCTATAAATGGACCATTTTTGTTTATCCATGTTCCATAGCTATTTTAAAAATCAGTATACTAGGGTATACCAACGAAGCTTGAATCTTGAATCTTCGTTGTGTCAATTCTCATCTTTGTTTTCTATAGCAACTGGATGCCTGTTGAAACCACATTGTTTTCAACAACCGCACATCGAAGCGTCAAGAAAACACAGCTCGAGCACTTCGTGATGGATGGCCGTGCTGATCAAAGGGATTGTCGATGGCCGCGCTGTGCACCAAAACATGGTGAGGTTGCTGGAAAACTTTGAAAGAAATCAAAAAACATGGAACCGTATTCTAAATCAAGAAAATATAGATGCAAAGAAAGCCATCCCTCAACTGTACAAATCCTGGTCTGACTCCTGCAGACCGTTTGACCAGTTCGCCGACAAAATTCAACTGTACAAATCCCAAACACAGAGGCCTCCTGGCACTGTACAACTCTGCAAGAAGGATCAGCTGGTCAGCTGCTGGTCAGGTCATGCTCCTGCCGTCGCTGCCAGGTTCGCCATCAGCGCTTTCGCTTCGTCTTTCAACTTGGCGCGGTCAAATTTTCCCACGCTGTTCAGCGGCATTGTGTTGCGGAACCAATATCCTGGGTCAGGAAATTGGAAAGCCAAGGCGAAAGTGTGGAGTTTGGAAAATCAAACTTAAAATTTGGTCTCTGTGTGCCCATTTCTGCCCCTTTTTGCCAGATATATCCTAAATCCCCAAGATGGTGTGCCATGAATTTCACCAGCTGGTTTATCATGAGCAAATATCATCAAATATCCCGAATTATTTCCACTATCATCAGTTCATTGGCCAACTGGGATATAACATATCGTCGGCATTGTTTGTTGGCACGGCCAACAAACATGCGCCCCACAAACTTCTCTCACATTCAGCAACCATGATTATATGCTCTCAGGATATGTGACAAAAGTAGAACAATGGATTCTCAAAGTTGCAATGATATGTGCTTCACCAAGCAACGCCAGCAACGACATTTCTCAAACCAAGTACACAATTGGGAAGTTTATGAACTGGCTCTTCTCGTGGCTGATCATAGACGCCCTGCACTCAAGAAAAACATCCATTTCTTTCTGTTTTAGCTGGCCACTGGGTAGTGTATGCCCTCGCTTTCTTGCAGCAATTTACCCTATCAAAAACAGAATGCATGGATACATGCATGCATGCATGCATGCATGCATGCATGGATGGATGGATGGATGGATGTAGGTACGTAGGTACGTAGTTGCAACTTTGATCAAACTAATGATTTTAAAAATGTTATATTGTAGAGCTAACTTCTATATAACTAATTCGCCTTCACCCAACTTACAACCCACATCTTTGCTGCTGTAATCCCACCTGTTCTGTTTGACCGAAACCAACAAGGTCAGGCGGCTCACGGGCTGCTCGTAGGAAGCGAGGCCTTTGGTTGCATGCTCCTGGTGATCTGTTCAGCAGGGGGTCCCAGAAAAAGCGAAGCTTACAAGGTGCGGCCCCAGTTCGTTAGCTAAGTTGGTGAACAGAACTCCAATAACCAGGGTTTATGATACATCTATAGTTAGTGGCTGTCGTAAACCAACTTCTGACTAGGGTGGCACCACTTTTTGGAAATTGCATCCAAAAATTCTGGTGAAATAGCTGAGGGGGTGATGATACAGTGTGATTGGCATTAGTTTAGCTACATTTTTTGAATTGTAGCCCAGAAAAAAACCCGACCATCACATGGCATCATTTACCATCATTTACCTCATAACTCACCCACTCATGCATATGGGTATCGCATGGTATCGGGCATCGGTCAAAATTAGGCAGTCATGGAGCCACAAATGTCAGTCAATCCGTTTTGGGGCCCGCACCTACGTATATGTGTCCCCATGTCCAGGAAAAATGAAAGGGGATGCCATTTACCTACCCATTATAGTCCAATTGTGAGGATGTCAGTGATATACATATACAAGTGATGAAAGATCAGTGTCAAAAAGTGGTTGCTTAAGTATCCCATGTCTGTTGTTTAATCTCCAGTTTTGGATCACGTATGTACATACATTACATCACATCACATCACATCACATAACATAACATACATACATATATATATATATATATATACACATATATATATATATACACACACGTATATGTATATCACTTTTATCACCCATGAATTATATCTAATGTCGTGGTCACTGCGTGGGATTGCGCTTGGGGTAAAGTGGACATATGGATATAGATATACAACCAGAGTCATCGGGCCCCCCGTATCCCAACTTTAGGGAGGCAAACTCAGCATGGTTGTACCGCATTTATATCCATTACCCTCCGGTAACGGCTTGTTGGAAAATCATCCATTTATATGATGTTTCCATCAAAACCTCCTTTTATGGAGGATTATCCAACGCCATGTTTCATTGCTGGAGGGTATATGTATTCCGTTAATATTCCATATGTACACATATATATTATATATATATCGCCTATTCACCATGATTCTACGATATATATATATATATGTGTGTGTGTATGTATATCGCCTATATATGCTGCACTTGGGGCTCAATGATGCGAAGAAAATTTCACCAGCAATCGGGCAGACATGTTTGATTTGTGGCCAGCATCTTTGATTGCCTAATCAAAACCCGTCACTGTAAAGTTGTTTTCTCTAATTTTGTCCAAGTTGGGACCGCATTAAGAATTATCAACGGCTTCTCCGGGACCGAAGCATTTCCTTGACGCTCGGATTTTCCTGCTTCAAATCCATTTTGCAAATTTTGCATTTCTGAAGGAAAGTGTTCAAGACACAGTGACGGGCAGGCAAACCGTGCGGAGGCTGAAAAAAACACATGAAAAACGTAAACAAAATATTGGTGCGGGCGTCAAACATCAAAAAACTTAAGGAGAGAGATTTTTTTGCGTGCCCAAAGTTGCACCAATAATTGGTGAACCCCGCCACCCTCCCTGCCACCCTCCCCGGCCCTCCGAGCACCGCTTTTTGTGGGGATGTTTAGCAGCCACTGGTCCTACCAATACATACATACATACATATATACTCCAATCAGAAACCATCAAGAACCATGAGTCTAGCATGAAACCTCCATGTCCTCCGGGGAATTTCCAAGTAGCATCCCAAGTTGGGAATATTATTCTTTTGTCGTGTTGCAGATATAGAGGTCTATTATCCACCCGAATATTACATAAGAATTAGTACCTAAACCTAGTATACTTAATGATCATGATTATGATCCATTTACACCATGATTAAAAAAAACTATACGCAGACTATATACAAACTATATTACATGGTTGGAATATTGCCATTTGTCATATCATAGTAGGATCAACTATAGATCTATAAAATACACATCAGTATAACTACTGTAATATTGTCCCCTAAAATCCCAATATAGATGATAGATGATCATGATAATATTAGTAGTGTCAAAATATGTCAAAATATCATATCTATAGACAGATATGGGATCATATAAATAGCATTGAATAATCTATATAGTGTGGGACCCCAATGTATTATCATATATCTTTGAAAGAATTATAATAATTATAACAGTACATTGTAACATAGATAAACATAAAGAATCATATGGATTTTAATATTACAATATATGCTAATCATATCATAACTATAGATTATCACTATAGACAGTCACTATACATAATGTGATGAAAATTATGGTAGATAGTCACTGTAGATACTATAGATACTATATGATACTATAGAAAAATCTATCCAGTATATATATATATATTGATCAAATATATATATACTATATTAGACTATATGTATGTATATATATATATATGTGTGTGTGTGTATGAATAGCCCCCAATCCCCTGCTCCTCCAGCTCCATTGCCGTCGGCGCCTCATCACCCGGCAGCACCCAGGCCACAGGCACCTCACCCTCCGCAGAGTCCGGGACACCTACCACCACCACGGCCTTGACCTCGATTTTGGGGTTTTGAATCAGGAGAAAATGCCATGTTTCTGGGGATTGAACTGGATTTTTGACGATGATTTCTGAAGGATTTCTGATGATTTCTGCCATTTGATTGGGATTGAAATGGATAAACAGGCCTGGTTTTCCATGGGATTTGAAGGGAGGAAAGATCATGGATGAGAATTATGGATGGTGATCACCATTTTCATGGAGTTTTAACCAACCAAAATAGGGATTCGAGTCCCCAAATGCTGGACATAACCGGGATGTAATCATGGATGACATTGCATGATAATCGATGCGGCCGCAAACCTAAGAATTACATAGAAGTGTTCCAATACCCAATTCTGTAAAATTGGGTCGTTTGATATGGGGTCTATTAGTTTTCCAGTAAGTCTGCCACACTGGTGGGGTAGACAAACGCGTTTCTTTTTCACTCATCAAATGATGCCATGGCAAATCTTTGATACCCAGAAAAAAGAAGTTCATCTTTGTCTCGGTGCATCCTACATGAAAATGGTGCTAACTGATTTAAAAGATAACTTCTCAACCCCCTACATAATACCTCACATACCAAATACATACATATGCTTGTATATACATATACGTATATATATATGTATATACATACTAAATTATATGTATATCATCTCCTTCCACAAGCTTTATCCATCCCCACCATCCCGCCTTGGGATGCTCCAGCAGCCACCGCTCCACCGCCGCGGGGGCCAGGTTGGAGCCCCGTCGGACAATGATCAGCTTCCGCCGCGCCACGAACCACAGGAAGCCGTCCAGGTCGAAGCGCGCCAGGTCGCCGGTGCGGAGCCAACCTGGGGATGGGGAAGGGGGTGGTTAAGGGAGGGTTGGGGAGTTGGGGGGAAGTGGAAATGCGTGGGGATCTATATAGAAATATACATATCATCTACATATCCATATATATATATATAGAAAGAGAGAGAGAGAGAGAGAGATCTGTGTCTGTGTCTGTGTCTGTGTGTGTGTGTTTGGAATTACTGTAATATATGTGAGGATATTATTTTCAAACCATGCCCCAAAGATCTCAGGCGAGCCTACATGGATTGGATCAAGGAAAAATCAGCCGAAAACAATGCAGTTGACCAGCCAAACGTCAAGCTTCATGTGGTTCATTTCTCTTTCACAGTTCCAGACCGAAAATGGTGATCTTTCAGGTAAAAACAGCTTATCAGTGGGGATGTGACGCAAAAATACCTGACTAAATATGGGCCATGCTTGGCCATGGCCGGCTCTGCTTGGATGATCCTCGCGGTGAATGAAGGAGGATTAGTACAATCACTGTGTTCTAACTCCCGTTTGCAAATCACTTTCCAACCTGACCACTAACTCCCAGGATCATCCAAGCATACCTTACGCCACATGGTTTTGCCAGCGACATTGCCATCTCAACGTGGTAAATGGGTGTGCAAATGGGGCAAATGGTGTAAATTGGAACATAAAACTCCAAATTTTCCAAACCTGCAAACGACCAAAACAAATGAGTACGGTTTCCTACTATAGTTTTTCCAGACTTATCTATCCACATTCGCCCCAAAAAAAGACAGTAACCAGTTGCCCGAAAAATGATCCAATCCGAGCCAATTCGCTCCAAATCCGACAACAGTCCAGGCACCATCTTGGAAGAGTTCCTTGGTGGCTTCAGGATCCTCCCAGTAGCCCAGAGGCAGGGAGGGCGTCTTCAGAAGCACCTCCCCGATGGAGCCCACGGGCACATCCTTTCCGTCCTGCGCGCACTGCGCGCAGGGCTGGAAATCGCACGAAACATGGCTTGGTCCAACCAAGCCATGCAGATCAATTACATGGGTCTTAAGCACCAAGTAGAAATAGCAAAAAAATGGGATGTCCCTACTCTACCCGAATTGGTTGAGGGGAAAATCTTCATGAAACCCCTATTCCGGTGCCAAAAACAATGTTTTTTAAAACAATTGTTTTCTCAAATGGTGTTTTTCAAACAAATCCATGGAATGCTGCTTGGCTGTATCTCCACAAATGTTCTCATACATAGATTGTGTCCTCATGTTTGTTTGATGATATTCCACATATGGGTCGGTCATGGTTGGTCCAAAAATGGAGCGCGCCCCAAAATCCACGTGGTGTCTCAACATCTTCCCTGCTCAAATTGGAATTTTAGGTGAATACTGCATGTATACGCCATTTTCAGACAACCCTCAGAAACTGGGTGCGTGGTAAGTAATGGCGTGTCATCTAAGGTCAGGCCCTGAGCGAGTGACCCCTACCAACTTGCTAAGTGCTTGCTTTACAAAGTCTGGCGGCGGTCATCATTTCTTCCCCTCAAAGTGCTCCATTGTTTGTTCGAGAGAGAAGTGGGAAGTGCTTCATGATGTTGAAACCCATTTTTCTCCACCTCCCCATTCATCTCGTGTTCTTGGCTTTCATCACGAGGCAACCTCCAATTTCTGATGTTACAACCGGATCTTTTATTGGCATATGCCACCCTTCCTCTGCCCAGATTGCATCACAATATAGTATTTCCCCATGTTTTCTGCTTCTATCTCAAGGTCTAGATCTCTCCACTATCGTTGAGGTTGTAAATATACTGCTAATCCAACCTTGTCTAATCGAAGCGGTTGAAGCTAAATTAGGGGAGGTCAATCCCCTAAACGGGCTTTACTCGCCCAGTTAACTCAATGGGCCATCTGCCTTTTTGCACAAGCGAGTACAAACAAATCCACCATTCTTAAACCTTACATTCATTGAGCTCCCAGCCCCACCCATCACCCGTCCTCCACCAGCCGTACCTGGGTCCCCTTCGTCGGCCTTCCCATGGCACCCGCCTTGCCCTCGCGGTCTAGCGGGTCCAGCGGCTGGGCGGCGTAGTAGCCACCAATCTCTGTGATGCCACAGCCCTCCAGAACGGGCCAACCGAACCTGGGGATCTTCATGGGCACAGACACAGAGGCAGGCCCGCCGCCGGGAACCCTGACCTTCAGAGTTCACACGCCCATCGCTTTCATTTAAAACAACTAGAAGTCAATGGATTGGTTCAAGGGAAAATCCGAACCGGACAACATAGATGTCGAGATTTTAAAAAAATATGGGGCTGTCCAGTTTCAATTTCCGTTAAACCAATCCATTGAGATATCATATATACCTCCCTCTGGTAACTAACATAACTATGGAAAATAACCACTTTTAGTAGGTAAGATCAACTAGTTCTATGGGCAATTTTCAATAGCTATGGTATTTTTCCAGTACGTTATATATGTTGGTTTTAATCCCTCATGAACTTAAGAGATATATATATATATATGTATATAAATGTATATATATATATGTGTGTGTATATAGATATGTATCAGGATATTTTCAATAATGTGGGTAAAACCATAATAAACCATCCCCCAGTCATCACCATTTCTATAGGTGGTATGTTTACCATTCCCAGTCATGGGTGGTTTGTGGCATTGTTTTACCCACATTAACCATCATTAACTATCAGTAACCATCATTAACCATCATTGATCAACCATTCTTAACCATCATTCGTTACCCTCTAGTAAACGTTTACAGTTTGCTATTGAAAATGGCCATTGAGTTCGTGAGTTTTCCCATGAATAGCATGGTGAATTTTTCCATAGTTTTTTGTAAACACTTACCAGAGGGTAACGATTTAAATGGTTGATAAATGATGGTTAATGATGGTTAATGGTGGTTAATGATGGTCAATGATGGTTAATGATGTTTAGTTGGCAGTTGGTTTACCCATTAATAGCATGATAAATGATGCTTAATGGTGGTTAATGATGGTTAATGATGGTTAATGATGGTTAATGATGTTTAGTTTATAGTTGATTTACCCATTAATAGCATGATAAATGATGCTTAATGGTGGTTAATGATGGTTAATGATGGTTAATGATGGTTAATGATGGTTAATGATGGTTAATGATGGTTAATGATGTTTAGTTTATAGTTGGTTTACCCATTAATAGCATGATAAATGATGCTTAATGGTGGTTAATGATGGTTAATGATGGTTAATGATGTTTAGTTTATAGTTGGTTTACCCATTAATAGCATGATAAATGATGCTTAATGGTGGTTAATGATGGTTAATGATGGTTAATGATGTTTAGTTTATAGTTTGGTTTACCCATTAATAGCAATGAAAAATGATGCTTTAATGGTGGTTAATGATGGTTTTTTTTTTTGTTTTTTTCAAAAACCCCCAAACCATTGTCCCCCCCCAACAACAAATTTGGTTTTTTAAGTTGATGGTTACTGGATGTTTAGTTTATAGTTTGTCTTTACCCATTAACTAGCATGATCCATGCTGCTTAATGGTGGTTAATGATGTTACTGAATTGGTTAATGAATGTTAATGATGGTTAATGTAATGTTAATGAAGTTTATTTTATAGTTTTGATTACCCATTAATAGCATGAATTACATGAATGGTTAGTGATGGTTAGTGATGGTTAGTGATGGTTAATGATGGTTAATGATGGTTAATGATGGTTAATAATGGTTAATGATGGTTATGATGGTTAATGATGGTTAGTGATGGTTAATGATGGTTAGTGATGGTTAGTGATGGTTAGTGATGGTTAATGATGGTTAATGATGGTTAATGATGGTTAATAATGGTTAATGATGGTTAATGATGGTTAATGATGGTTAATGATGGTTAGTTTTATAGTTGATTTACTCCCTTAATAGCAATGATAAAATGAATGCTTGAATGGTGGTTAATGATGGTTAATGATGGTTAATGATGTTTAGTTTATAGTTGGTTTACCCATTAATAGCATGATAAATGATGCTTAATGGTGGTTAATGATGGTTAATGATGGTTAATGATGGTTAATGATGTTTAGTTTATAGTTGGTTTACCCATTAATAGCATGATAAATGATGGTTAGTGATGGTTAATGGTGGTTAATGATGGTTAATGATGGTTAATGATGTTTAGTTTATAGTTGATTTACCCATTAATAGCATGATAAATGATGCTTAATGGTGGTTAATGATGGTTAATGATGGTAAATGATGGTTAATGATGGTTAATGATGTTTAGTTTATAGTTGATTTACCCATTAATAGCATGGTAAATGATGCTTAATGGTGGTTAATGATGGTTAATGATGGTTAATGATGGTTAATGATGGTTAATGATGTTTAGTTTATAGTTGATTTACCCATTAATAGCATGATAAATGATGCTTAATGGTGGTTAATGATGGTTAATGATGGTAAATGATGGTTAATGGTGGTTAGTTGTTCTACCCATGAAAAATGGTGATTTTCCATAGTTGTTTTACCCACATTAGCCATGTTTTTTGTCCCAGCCACATCTCCAGGAACCGGCTCTGCAGCTGCAGCGGCACCGAGTCCCCGGAGCCCACGACCCGTCGCAACGCCAGCGCCGCCACGGAGCCTAAGTCGCGATGCTCCAGGTGCTCCACGAAGTCCAATAAGGCGCTGGAGAGCATGGCCTGGCGCGTGGCGCGGGATAGGCCTGGAATCTGCAATTTATGTCATCTATGTCATCTATTTATGTAATCTATGTCATCTATATGAATCTATTCATGAACTTAAGATATGTGTAGTATATATATATGTTATGAAGAGATACATATGTACACGTGTGTGAGCGATTCCAAACTGATATTCTGTGTGTGTGTTATTACATATGCATATATGCATATATATATATTATATATATATATACTGACGTATAACTAAATATAAACAAAGATAAGCCAATGGTATATAACATATATAACTATAGCTTAATAATACCAATGGACATACTAGGACCATTTCCCAGTCTTTCACATTTTGCCAGGACACGTAGACGCTCACGTTGAAGCGCTGGATCAACTCCACCGCCTGCGCTGCCGTGGGCATCGTGGCCAGCACCGCCTCGCCGCCACGGGCCAAGGTGGGGAGCAGCTGGGTCTGCAGTCCACCTGGGCAGCAGAAAACATGGGAAAAGATTGAAAAAAGTCCCAGAAATATCCAAGAAATTTGGAGTATTTAGGAGTTGTTTTTAGTTTTTTTGGATGTGTTTTCGGATTTTTTTGGAGTTCAAAATAGAGTTTGATGCCAGTGGCTTGGAAGGGAAGACTTCCCCAATTTTTAGTTGGATGTTTCAAGATGTTTCAGTGTTCAAGATTTGGAATCAAATGAATTGAGGGAAGGGAAAAAAAATGTTGACTGGGAAATTGTCCCTTTTGTCTTGAATAAAATCAACGTGATTGCATGGTTTTTATGTCCCCAGAAATAACCAAAGGGAAAGCAACAGCCATACTATCAAGCGATCAAAGTTCATCACCCAGCTCCTGATACGCCACATGCATACATACATACATACATAACATAACATAACATAACATTACATTACATTGCATTACATTACATTACATTACATACATTACATACATTACATACATTACATACATTACATTACATTACATTACATTACATTACATTACATTACATTACATTACATTACATACATTACATACATGACATACATTACATACATTACATACATTACATACATTACATACATTACATACATTACATACATTACATACATTACATACATTACATACATTAATACATTACATACATTACATACATTACATACATTACATACATTACATACATTACATACATTACATACATTACATACATTACATACATTACATACATTACATACATTACATACATTACATACATTACATACATTACATACATTACATACATTACATACATTACATACATTACATACATTACATACATTACATACATTACATACATTACATACATTACATACATTACATACATTACATACATTACATACATTACATACATTACATACATTACATACATTACATACATTACATACATTACATACATTACATACATTACATACATTACATACATTACATACATTACATACATTACATACATTACATACATTACATACATTACATAAATTACATACATTACATACATTACATACATTACATACATTACATACATTACATACATTACATACATTACATACATTACATACAATACATACAATACATACATAACATACAATACAATACATTACAATACAATACCATACAATACCATACAATACCATACAATACCATACAATACCATACAATACCATACAATACCATACAATACCATACAATACCATACAATACCATACATACATACCTACATACATACATACCATACATACCATACATACCATACATACATTACATACATTACATACATTACATACATTACATACATTACATACATTACATACATTACATACATTACATACATTACATACAGTACATACAGTACATACAGTACATACATTACATACATTACATACATTACATACATTACATACATTACATACATTACATACATTACATACATTACATACATTACATACATTACATACATTACATACATTACATACATTACATACATTACATACATTACATACTTTACATACTTTACATACATTACATACATTACATACTTTACATACATTACATACTTTACATACATTACATACATTACATACATTACATACATTACATACATTACATACATTACATACATTACATACATTACATACATTACATACATTACTACATTACATACATTACATACATTACATACATTACATACATTACATACATTACATACATTACATACATTACATACATTACATACATTACATACATTACATACATTACATACATTACATACATTACATACATTACATACATTACATACATTACCTACATTACCTACATTACCTACATTACCTACATTACCTACATTACCTACATTACCTACATTACCTACATTACCTACATTACATACATTACATACATTACATACATTACATACATTACATACATTACATACATTACATACATTACATACATTACATACATTACATACATTACATACATT